CAGCAGGAGTCAATGATGTATTGTAATTTTTTAGCCTGACATGTTTACTGTTCCCACATATTTGAAATGTTTCTTAAAATTAAATATATTGTGTTCAATGGTAGGAAAGTTGTTGTTTTTTACACAGACATTTAAAAAGAACATATTTTAGAGCAGGAATCACAATACTGTGATATTTTTATTTAAGGTCATCCTGACAGAATCATATACCTGTGTCCTGACATTTTATCCTACCTATCAGATTATACTACCAACAATGTATTTGAATGGTTCTGAGGTTCTAACCCTGGGGTTAGTGATTAGCAGGGCCAGATGGAATCTGCGGACATTTTTTGCTATTTCTGTGGAGAATTTTGGTAAAAATCTGCGGATTTCTGCAGAATTATTTTGGGAGTATCCAGCGGAGTATTATAACTAAAACCTTAATATGTTAAATAAAAAGTAATAAATTAATGAATAAAAACTGAATAAAGTCAGATTTACACATTTACACAAGTAAATAAACAGAATTAATAATGGGCTAAAAATCTGCAGAATTCTGCAGAATTCTGCGGAATTCTGCGCGTGCAGATTCCGTGTGGGCCTAGTGATTAGCTAGATTAGGGCAACTATTACCGCTTCATATCACAAGACTCCATATTTAAAATATACACTAGTAGCAAAATCTGATGGGTAGCATATTGCATCATCAAAATGCGATATGTAATTTTTGAATGGGAGGCAGGACAATCTGACATGGTAGGACAAATCGACAGAACACCGGCCTATGCCTAGTCTACAGTATAATCCTACACATTCACATTTAAAAAAGCATCAGGTCAGATTCCCCTAAGGACTGTTCAGACTCTCTAGATAACCTGCCTACTGATGTGTGCAGTGTGTTTTCAGATGGTGTGTAAGCTGAGGCGTTTAATGGGGATCCGGACAGCCCGGCGGCTCTATGAGCTACGACTACAGTAAGGCAGTGATGTGCATCCACTGTGTGGTATGTGGACAGGCATGTGGGCACTGACATGTGGGTTCCTCCCCTCTATCTGATTAATGGCTATGTGAGAAAGCAGCCACCCTTTCAGGCCCCTCCGACTTTCCAAAATAAACAACTCCTGCTTTTTGGATTACTATCGATCCGAGCAGCCGCTGAAGATGAGTGTGCAAGGGCGAGATCTCTTTCCCCCCTTCTTTGCTTTCCCTGTAATCTGTGCTTCTCTCACTTTATCTCCAACCTTTCAATCTATCACTCAGACAATCATCTTGTCTCTCACCCTGCAATTGCGGTTCACCTGGAGTTGATGTCTTTGTCCTTTTTTGTCTCGTGAATGTGACCACCGTTGTTTTTGACTACTGTAAAATCGTTTAAAGCCCCTTAAAAAGAAGTATGAGTGCCAGAGGAGGGATAATGTTATTAATGTCAGAGATCTACAATGCCCTTGCCATCTTCTCAGCAGATTGGTATGCCGTCTTCTGCTGGAGCCTGTTATTAGAGTCTCCTGAGAAATGCTGAAATGCAGAGCACAGAGAGGCCTATTTCTTGCACCGTGCTCAAAATATGCTTTTTCTGCCCATTCCTTGAATATTTTTAGTTTTTTTTTTTTGAGCTTGTGTCTGAGTGGTCAGTTGTCTGCCATCGTCTCAACAGTCTGCATAAGGTTTGATCCACTTTCTGGCCAAGAACATGCTTAAAAATAGAGGTTCCAAAATAGAGTTTATGCAGTAATGCCATGGTAGGACCATACTGGGCTCCTGAACGTCCACATGAAATCAAAATTTAAAATTATTAATTAGCTTTTTTTTAATAGAGCACATTGTTAGTCCTAAAGTACACATAAAATCAAAACTTACCATATTGATTTGGTTAGCTTACATTGCTAGTTTTGTTGTGAACAAATGATCTGTGCAAGTCATTAAAAAAACAAAAAAACAATTGTTAATAGAATGCAAATCTGAAAATGCACTTCTTCTGTGTTTTCAGTTAAAATCTCAGATTACGTCTGTCTGAGGTATTGGACTGATTAACATATTTAACCACGCCCCTCCAACTGTCAGTTTTGACAGCGCTATGATGATAACAATCAGAAAAGGCTAGGAAGAGGTGTCTGTTAGGCTGTAATAACTCTCCCGTAATCCTTTTCCCAGTCTTTCTAAATGAAATGACTACATCAAATCAGCTCTTAGTAGAAAACAACAAGCCATGCCCACTGTTTTCCCATTTGATATTCTGTTTCTCTTGGAACTGAGACACAAACAAACAAACAAACAAACAAACAAACAAACAAACAAACAAACAAACAAAAAGGTGGCAGCTTCAAGTTCATGTGGACTTTGAGGTGTTTTGGTAAACTTTAATTATAATATAATCATTTTGCCTTCTTTGATGATGCTATTTCCTTGTACTGAACTAATTATTCGACTATGCCTAAGTAAATCTAGATTTTCTTTATAAATGTAATGTAAATTATAAATGTAAATTGTAAATTAAAATTGATGATTCAAAGAATCTAGATTTTTTACAAAAAAAAAGTTGGGACAGTTTGGAAAACGTAAATAAAATAACAAAATAAGTAGTGATTTCTAAAATTACTTTGACTAGTATTTCATTGCAGACAATACAACAAACATTATTTAATTTGTTCCTCATGATTTTTATTTTTTTAAAACAATTATTGACTTTTTTTTTGGTTCTTGCAACACATGTTTAAACAAAGTTGAAACAGTAAAGCATCACAACACTTTAGTCCCTAAAAGACATTTCAAGAGTTCACACTTAGCTGATAATCAATAAAGCGTATTTGGCATGCTGTCCCGGGAGAGAGCCCTGAGCTCGTAATATCCTCGAGCCCGGGGCTCCCTCCCGTTAGAAGGGCGAGAGGGGAGTTCGAGGTCAGGTAGGTCTCGAAAACTCCCCTGCTTGTCACCGTGAGAAGTGTGAACTGAGGTTGTATTGGGTGATAATTTGTTTTAGTCAATTTGGCTATGGTTCATGTTTTGGACGGTGGGAGGAAACCGGGGTACCCGGGGGAAACCCACGCGAACACGGGGAGATCATGCAAACTCCGCACAGAAACACCGACCGGCCCGAAAAGTTGAACCGGCAGTGTTCTTGCTGTGAGGCAACAGTGCTAGCCACTGGGCCGCCGTGTCGCCCATCAGGAAAGGAGGAGGATGAAGGGGTGGAAAGGGGGGAGCTTCAAGACGAAGATAACTAGAGTGATAAACTCAGGTTATTTATAATGCTTCCGTAATCATCTAATGGGGCTGATTACGGAGCTAATAAGGAGCCAGCCGTGTTGATTATAAGCACGTGATCCTCTCGAAATTAGTTTATGAATAAACCACACTTAGGGACTAAAGACAACACCATGTGATGAAGTGTTACAGGTTTAGTTTAGTCCCATTTATCCTGTAAACAAGTCTTAAGGCGACCAACAGTGTGGGGTCTTTGTTGTTGCATTTTTCACTTAAGAATGTGCCACAGATTCTCTGTTAAAGACAGTTCAGGACTGCAGGCAGGCCAGTCAAGTACCAGTATCCTCTACCTCCACAGCCATGATTTTGCAATGTGTGCAGATTGTGGTTTTGAATTGTGTTGTTGAAATATTCATGGGTGTCCCTATAAGAAGGCATCATATTATGCTCCAAAATCTGTACTTTGCAACAGTAATGTTGCCATCACAGACGTGCAAGTTACTTTTGCCAAGGGCACTGAGAAAGCCCGATACCATGACAGATCGTGGCTTTTGGACTTGTTGCTGGTAACAGTCTGGATGATTCTTTTCTTTTTTGATCCGGAGCACACGATGTCCATTTCTCCCAAAATATGCATGAAATACTGATTAATATGACCACAGTACATGTTTCCATTGTGTGTTAGTCCATCCCAGATGTCTCAGAGCCCAGAGAAGTCAACGATGCTTCTGGACACTGTTAACATAGGGCTTCCTTTTGGCACAGTAAAGTTTTTACTTGCAGTTGTGAATGTAACTACATATTGTGGTACTTGACAAGGGTTTGCCAAAGTAGTCCTGAGCCCATGTGGCGACAACATTTGTAGATGAATGATGGTTCTTGATGCTATCCTGCTTGAGGAATTGGAAATCACGGTTGTTCAGCTTCTTGCCCTTGTCCTTTACGCACTGAAATTCAATGGTTTCTGGATGCAGCCTTTATGATGCGAGATGAGATGGCATCACTCAGCGATGCAATGTCAGACACAATGCACTCAATGAAGTGAGTGACGTCACTGTGACGGTAGGGTTAGGGTTAGGTGAGCACATTAATAAGCATTTGATGCAGCTCAGATTGGACTGCACCAGGTCTGCATCCAGACCCTTCTTCTGAAATTCCTCTAGATTCCTTGAATCTTTTATTATGTTATGCACTGCCAAAAGTAAAATATCCAAATGTCTTTTTCTCTTTCTTTGAGAAACATTCTTTTAAAACATTTCAATAATTTTTTCATGTATTTGTTGGTGATCATTACCCCATCTTTGCTCCTAAAGGATTAGACCTTTCTAGGAAGCTGACCAGACAAAACATGAAATATTTAGTGTTCATATTGTCTGTGATGATACAAGTCAAAGTAAATTTGGGAATCACCTTCTTTCTTTATTTAAGTTTTCCATACTGTCCCAACCTTTTCTGAATTGAGAAAACTGTGACTGAATCTCATTCATTTACCTGCAATCCAATCAACCAATATGCAACCTAGTCTTGATTGCCGAAGCCATACTCATAAATCTGCTCTGTCTCTGATTTACTGTCCCCCACTGTAACTCTCCATGGCAGCGTTAGATCTATCAGCACCACTTTTTCTCCCTGAATCCCCCAGTCCTGATACACACTAATGTTTATAGCCTACCACCTCATGCAGGCTCTCAGCAGTGACTCTGGTGAGCAGGGCTTCCCCCCTGAGCCTCACACATTAATGGCATTTCTAGATGCACATGACTAGCACTAGGACCCAGAGAGCGTTGCATTTCTTCCAGGGGTTGCCTAAGCCTCAGCGCACACCCCTGCTCGGGAAAAACTGAGATATAGGAAAAGAGAGAGAGGTCGAGACTGGAGGAACGCTGCGCTGTTGTTGTGGTCGGTCAGTCAGTCAGTCAGTCCAGGAGCGCTGCTCGGTGGAAATGGAGGAGCTGAAGTGCACCAACTGAGCAGCGAGGAGAGACGAATACATGTGGACGCGCTTATTCGGAGCTGATCAGGATTAAAAGGTGAGAGTGTGAACGCAAGCTCGCGTGCTATCATTTAGTGTGTTTACTGCAGCGGGCTTCAACAAAAGGAGGCAGGAGAGTGTTTTCGGACATGCGTCTTGTGAAGGATTGTGGAAATGAGTCATCACTGTGTGCGCGCACGAGGGGAATACTCGTGTGTTTGTGTGTGTGCGCGCGTTTAGGGTGCTTTTCCTGTCTGGAAGGGAAAGACGGCACAGTTTTGTAGGTGGAAAACGCAAGGCTGGTCGATTGCACTGCGAAATGACGTGTCGCAAAAGTTTGCTGTGGATCTGAAAGGAAACGCACATCTGCTTGGAGCCTCAGGTTTGTATCTGAGGGGAGGACAGGTTTACCACAGACTGCTTGTGATCTCTGTGATAGCCTGGACAGATGGTGGTAGGCGTGTTTGTGCGTGCGTGTGTGTTTGTGTGTGTGTCTGTGTGGCATGTTGTGTCTGTCAGGCGGAAAACTAGTTAAGAGAGGCAGATCTGATGAGGACCACAGCAACAGCAGAAAGACGCCTCGGTCTGACTGGCTCGACACAGCTGTTTGTACACATGAATGCTGTTTGGTTTTAATCGTGCTGCCACGTGTGTGTGTGTGTGTCTGTCTGTGTGTGTGTGTGCGCGCGCGCCTTGTGCGTTTGTGTTTGTTTAAATAATCTGTTTGGAGTCTGTTTACATGCCGTGTACACTTTTGGGATGCACGTTTGGATTCCTTGGCGACTGTATCACAGTGTTGTCTTCATCCAGATGCTATTCCATGTGAGATGTGAAGAATGTTTTGTGGTGCTTTATTTAAAACGTGTGCATTGGCTTGTTTTTAGGGGGAAATGAGATTCTGTGTGAATTATGCTGGCATTGCAAACACAGTCAATCCAGAAATCAGCTACAATGTGAGAGCTAGTCAGTGGGCTTATGAGAAATATGGCTTTATAAACTGATTATTTAATGTTAATGCTGCAGAAAATGATAAATCTGTCGTAATTTTCATTGTCATTTCTTGTGCAGGGGCAGATTTAGAGATTTTTGGGGTCCTAAGCAATTCCACCCATGAGGCCCAAAAGTTCTAAGATGCACCTTCAATTTTTTTTTGGGTGGGGAGTTTTTTTTTTTCCTTATGTCATTCCAACTCCTTTTGTACATTTTATTGTAATGCGAAATAAAATAATAATAACACAAACTTTTCACAAATTCACAACTAAAAATAATAAATGAACTATTTTGTTTTATGATCTTTACTGATTTGACTGCTGGACTGGTATGGACCAGTGGACCAGTGGGGATTGAAGGTGGGGGACACATCTGCGCTAAAATAAACATTTTAGACCCTCACCATACAAAATATAATAGAAAACAAAGTTATATATAATTTATAGGTATCAGTAATACTTTTAGGTATTTATTTGGGGGCCCTCAGATTTTCTGAGGCCCTAATTGGCCTCTTTCTTTGCTTATTGGTTAAAGCCGCCCATGCTCTTGTGCCATTTCAAAGCAAATTACTTTGTACAAAATCGGAGGTGTTTTAAAGAATGTTGATTAAGAAATGAATTTAGTTTGCATTGATTTGTTGTATGCACACAAAATTGCTGAACTAAAAGAAAAGAGGGACATTCTCATTCTTTACAATAAGTTAATGTATTTACTAACATGAACTAATTATGAACAATAATTGTTTATAATTCATTTATTAATCGTAGTTCAACATTTACTAATGCATTATTAACATCCAAATTCATGCTTGTTGACATTAGTTAATGCACTGTGAGCTGAGATTGTAAATGTAATCTGTGGGGTTCATTGTTTGTTCTGTTTAGTAAATGCCTTAACTAATACAACCCTAAGTGTTACCGAAGAGAAAGCACAGATATTTGGCACTCCAGTCAAAATATATATTTTCACCTTTTACCTTTTGTTACCGCTTGCATACTTCTGTTGAAACTTTGCAAACACAGACAAATGTGATATAAACAGTGGTGTGAATTAGGACTGGGCCGATAAACAATTTTACAGTTTTTCTTAGTTGCTTTGGTTTATTTCTCACAACACTATTTACATTTGCACAACAGTTAATGCATTTCTCAAAACGATTAGTACAAACTGCAAAACCTAGTTGATAACCTGCAAAAGTGTGTCTCGTGCTCAAAATGGATAGCCCATACCTCTAAAGCAAGTATTCATGTCAATGTAAGTGTCAGTGTCATCAAGATGGAAAGTCCAGACACCATTGTTTATGAACAAGATAGTCAAATGGCTTTGTCATGTTTTAATTATGACAGTTTACTCTGTGAATTGTTTCCAATGCAAAAAAGTCGTATTTTGGCGACACATCCTGAAAATGCTCAAGACAGCACTATATACTGTTTGCACAGCCATTTGAAAACTACAGTAAAGTTAGACATCACTGCATTTAGTGAGGATATATGTGTACAAGACACTGAATATGTATGTTTCACATTGTACAGTTTTACTCAGTCACCTTGGTGCATTTCTCACACTATTTACATTTGCACAACAGCTAATGCATTTCCCAAAACAATTAGTCATTTGTGCACATCATAGTAGCAGTTTCTTATTCCTTCCAACAAATTGTAAATGCTTTTGAACATGCATCAATTGCTTTCATACAACTCTCTGCTATTTATAACATTATCATTTGCTTGTGTCATGTCAGTCAATTACAATTTGTTGGAAGGAATGAGAAACTGCTTCTATGATGTGCACAAATGACTAATTGTCATGACTGAGAAAAACTGTAAATTGAATCGTGATAAAATTTATGTTAATAACAATAAGCTGTGCACTTTTTTTACTCTATACTGATTTAAGTTCACAGCAGAAATGTGCAACAATGGGAATCATAAAGTGTGTTTAGGGTTGCACAATACCATTTTTTTTTGATCCTTATACCAAAATTCTGAGTATTGACCAATACAAATCTGATCCCGATACTGTGCCTTTTTGTTAAACATAATACATTTTATAGTTTATAGTTCTAGTGACAAAGGGGGTTATAGTATGCCTACATGACAACTGCCTAGTGCCTTTCGTGGCTTTTGTTGACTACATAGAATATAGCACACGTGCAAGATCGGATTTGCATCAGTACTAGCTGACTGATACCTGATCCAGCAAAAATACGCGGTATCGAATCGATATCAAATCTAAGTATCGGGATCAGTGCAACCCTAAGTGTTTTGATGATTTATCATATATAATATAAATGTAATATTAATTGTAAATAGAAATTGCTTGCAAATTTTACCAAAAAGTATAAATAAACAAGTTGAAAATTGTTAATTTAACTACATTTTGATGTAGAAAAGTAGCATTTTGTCCCCCAACTGTGGTTAAATTCTAATATATACTCTATTCTAATTAGATGGTTTAAATAACAAATTTATTAAAGTTCTATAAACCGTTTTATTTATTATTTGAAGTCAAACTATGTGTAATTTGGTTTACCAAGTAAACATCATTAAAGTTTTTTTTTTATTGTGCTTTTCTTAATTATTATCGTTCCAAAGCAATTTTACAAAAGGTGCAAATTTTTACATGACAGTACAAATCAAAAAGCGTTAAAGATTTGCGTATTAGATAGACATTGTGTGTATAAATAGAGCTGCACAATATATTGTTTCAGCATCAATATCAAAATGTGTGCATTCTCAATAGTCACATGGCAAGATATGCAATGTTGAGTCTGGATTATAGTTTACCAGGAGCCACAGAATTGTATTCAAATACTGCATTAATACAGAATTTTGTTAAGAATTTTGCCTTGTTTCTAGTCCAGATATATACATTTCAAAACAAAAACAAAAGTATTTTATTTGCTGCAGTGTCATATATATATGTATATATATATATATATATATATTTTTTTTTGTTTTAAGAACAAACTTTAAAAGAAAAGTTAAAAACAACAATGTTTTTGCTTAATCCAATAATTTTTAGAAATTTGGTCTAGAAACAAGTCAAAGCAAAGCAATAAAAGCACTTTTTATTCAGTTTCTGTACCTGAACACTGCTGGACTCCATAGAAAATGATGAAATAGTGTCATTATTCAAATCTTCTAAAACAGTATCCTGTATTGCAATATTGTTTGCTGAAAATTAAAATCTGACAATATTAGATTTTTCCAGTATAGCTCGACAATATATAGTGTAGCATTCTAAAATGTGATGTGTATAATTAGCTTTCAATGAATCACTTAAGAAAGATATTGATTGATTGGCTGGTTAGAAGCAATGTAATACTTTTGTCCTAATTCAACCAAAAACAACGTAATCGAATGTACGTTTTCACGTAGTATTACGAAAAAGAAAATATACAACTATGTGCAAACTTTCACCATAGCAAAGCTAATCCTCAGTATATGAATCCATGTGAAAACAAGTGTGACATTGTCATTATTCTGTCACATTTTTACTGTTTGTGATGTAATGCTGCAAGACAGTGAGTATCAGGCCATAAAATAGCCCATACTGATGCAGGAACAGTCAGAACACTGTGTTTCCTCTCAGTGTCCTTGAACTTGTTTGAGAGAAAGAGCGAAGCGGTGTTTAGTTTCAGGCGCTGATGTCATGACTCATGATGTCATGCTGGAGTCTGACTGATTGCTCTGCAGCCTAGCCTCTGATTGGTCCTTGGCTGCTTTTGGCCGTGTGAGTCACTGACTGATTTTATTTTTCATAAATATTTACTGGCCAGTCACTGGTAAAAGTTGTTGTGTGTGTGTGTGTGTGTGTGTGTGTGTGTGTGTGTGTGTGTGTGTGTGTGTGTGTGTGTGTGTGTGTGTCTGTGTGTCTGTGTGTCTGTGTGTCTGTGTGTCTGTGTGTCTGTGTGTCTGTGTATTAGGGCAACTGTATATTTTAAGCATTTGGAGCACTCTGTGTTTTGGTCCAAACTAAGCAGGAGATTGTAATGATTAGCTGTGGTTATCTTTACAACTGGAGCACTTGCAGCAGTTAAAGGCCAGATTTCATAGCAGAGAGTGG